CCAAAGGTAAAAAAAATAAAAGGACCTTCCTCTTCCTCCTTAAGATGCCGCTCCTCAACATGTTTGGAGACTCCAATATCGTGTGGACATATCTTGACCAGACTGCCTGCAGCCTTATTCAGTCCCAATGGCTCAAAGCAAAACAAAAAAGACAGATATTGACTGGAATAGCTTCGTTCAGCAATCCAAGCCAAAGGTTGAAGATGATCTCGCCGAGTCCACTAAGACCTATATGAATCTTGTGAAGCAAAATTTTCAGAAGTGATATCCTGCCTAGAATGAAGATACAGCTCGTACTAACCTAGTTTCCTAGATTTACATCAGAACTCCAACCACCAGACTATGTTTATTGGCTGAAGAATGTCACCTTGAGAGTCATTGAAGGATTTCTTTGCTGGTATCTTGATAATCACAATGTTGAATATCAGTCAGGATTTTTGGTTTTTGCGCGATATTGGAGAGTCTTTTAGTGTTAGGAAATGGATAGTCTCTTTCCTTACATGTTGAGGCGTAAGATGACCATGGTAAGTGAACATTCAAGAGGCATGGATTGAGCTGATATTAGTAGCTTATATGCACTACACTCACTGATGAGTATGAGCTTGATTTGGGAGCAAAGACTCAGCCACTAGTGAATGTTAATGATCATCTCTTTAGCACTTATCATCTCATGGCCTTCTGCAAAGTGAAATTTGCCATAGTATGATGTCGACAGCAGCTTAGTACACTGCAAAAGATAATGACTTTGATATCTGCCTGTCCTAGAACGCTCATCGAGTCTTCCAGATACATGAGAAGCAATAACGCGCTGAAATATAAAGATATTAAACTCTATATAGTGAAGCACCTAGAAGATCTAAATTATCAGATGCTTCTCATGTGAGTCAGGCATAGATTAAATAAGGGTAAGAGAAATTAGGGCATCCTGTAAGTCTTAGCTCTTATCCTGCTTAAAACCTGCTAACTTTTCAAAGACCTGTCTTCACATATACCGAGTGGAATGATAACCTTGGCCTTTGTGTTATCCAGGACATACTGGAATATGCTATTCTTGATAATGCTTTTGCCAGTGAGTGTACTAAGAAGCCTTAAGATGTCTGGCTCTATACCTATGTCCCTGACCATTGACTCAGCACCCCTATCCACTTCAAAGAGAGCATGAAGGAAATTCTAATATTTCACTATGCTGTGAAGGATTCTGAGGGATGATGGATCACTCATCCTATGCTAGCATTCTAGTATGATTAAGTGCAGGAATATGAGATTGCCACCAGCAGGTCAGCAGGTTTTAAAATTCCTGGCTTGCTTTACAAATATTAGAAAGGAGCTATAGCTAAATTAAGTAATGCATACCCCTTACTGGCTATTAATTTCATGTGTTGATAGGTCTATAGGACATCTCGATGAGCACTCCTGGAATATTATTATGGGCTATAAGAGAAGTGGTACCTTTGCCTACTATGTGCAGGTCTAGGATGACACCCAATCAGCCTTTATAGAGACACCCATATGAGATGCTTTAATTAAGCTAGCTACTAATTCAAGTTTAACTTATGATGCGTCCGCACTGTAAGATCTCAGTGATCAGCAAAAGCAAGAGCTTGAGAAGGACCTAGTACTTATTAGTCTGAAGTATAAGCATGATATACTTCAGGCTGAGTTGATTACACTACATCACCAGTTGCGCAAGGGTCGCGGCATGGATCTATATAGGGAGTTCTAAAGGGCTAATAATAAAGTTAGATTAGAAAGAAAGAAACTGTATCCGTGCCATACGCACCCACTCCGGAGGCCGGAGTGGGTGCGCCGCACGATAACCACCATTTTGACCGTAACCACCAATTTTGAATATAATCATGATTTTGAGGCCATACTAGGGGTTATATATATATAAAAAATCGCCATTCTCATCTGCTGCCTCTGCTGATCCATTTGATACCATATTCTCTTGTGTAGGTGCTGGTGGTGGTGGTTTGCCATGCACTTTCTCCCATAGCCTTTGTAAATGTCTTTCTTCTGTAGCAGCATCTTTGGCCTTCCTTGAAGTAATTGATCGATTTGCATCACGTAATTTTAATATACCATTTTGGCTAAGTGGCTTAACCTGACGCTTAGTATATTGGCGCTGTAGGGGGGCTTACGCGGCCCTAATTTGATTAATTATCTCCTTAAACATAGACCCTTCCTCCGCGGTGATTCGACTATGTTCAATGAAACAATCAATATTCCGTATCTGCTTTGGTGTAAGATCTACAATGGTAGCTGTAAGCCTAGATAGCTTTGCCTGATTCTTCTCAAGCGCCTGAATCGTCCGTGGAGGTGATATATCAATGCTAGATGAAGATGGTGGCCGAGAGGGAGAGGGCGTAGAGGGTGTAGTATTCTTATCAAGATCAGGTGCATGGATATCTGGAATTCATTCCCATGCCTGGATAGCAAGATCATCAGCTATCTTACTATTGACTGGCCAGATTCCACGATCTTTGAAGGCCTTACAGATAATCTGCTGGTTGAATGCCTTCTCCTGTACTGGTCTAATCATCCATAAGAACTCTGACTTCCCTGCTAGCTCACCAGCCCAGTAAGATAGCTCATTATTTACACGTTGGAAGTGTTGCTTATAGCTTAAGAATGGCTTGCCATCTAGTGGCTGGCAAAGATGTGTTGGATGAGGAAGGAATGCAAAGGGTATAATACTATTATCTTCACATGTGTGTAAGAATTCAGCAGTAAGATGGGAGCCATGGCCATCAAAGATAAGTATTTGTTTCTCTTCCCTCTTTATACACTCATTTGTTGCCTTGATAAAGCTTTGAAGCCATTAAAGGGCTATTTCATCTGATATCCAGCCGTTGGCTTGCGTAGCTATTATTATATTTAGTGGTAGGCCCTCACTCTCATTAAACTAATGTTCCATGAAGATTCCGTTGCCTTTAGGAAGCAAGAAAGGTTAGCAAAGAATGACTTAATAGAGTAGGAGCTTGCCTTTAAAGATAAACCATGGATCCATCTGCCAACCATCTGCAGATATACATTTAATAGCTGTGACATTCTCTCCTCTTTCAGATTCAGGAAGATCAGGGATAGAAGCTTTCCCTTTTAAACTGATTACCTTCCTAGGTCTGCCTTCGCCAGGCCGGAAGCCGCATTCATCAAAGTTATATACTAACCATGCTGGTGTATCCTTTTTAACCACGTTTGCAAGCAGATTATACCAGTGTCCTAATAACCCTGCATCTTCAGCCTGGATACGCCTTGATTCCTTCGTCTTTTGCTTCACTGGGCCTAGCTTAAGGTGTTCTGGAAGCTGTTATTCAAAGCAATATGCCTAGGTCTTACCAATACGTCTTCCACTTCCAGGCTCAGCGCGTTCAAGTGCCTGATTTGCATACTCTTCTAGCAGCTTAGGTATCACCAGCATGTTCCAATCTCGCATACGGACTATCTACTGTATTAAAGCTTCCTCTTGATATTCCTTAAGGGCTTTATTAGCAGGTATTCTGGCTGTTCGAGGCTGCGCGCCCTTCTTGACGCGATCACGGAGGGTGGCATAAGGAACGCCATATTCACGCGCAATCTTGGAGATATTTGGTGGTTTTCTTTGGGCCTGAGCGAATTCGCAGGCCTTAAGGAGGTTGGATTCAGTAGATTTAGTAGATTTAGGCATGTTGGGTGGATGGAATAGCTTCAAATATCAAAATATTGAAAAATGGTGGTTATGGTCAAAATGGTGGTTATCGTGCGGCGCACCCTCACCGGAAGCGGTGAGGGGCGCGAAGGCACGGATACAGGGCTGCTAAAAACTAGGAGCACACTGAGTTTTTTAAGAATGTTAGGAACTATATTATTAAGCAAAATTACTAGGGTAATTTAATAAGTTTTAAGCTAGACCTCTCCTATATAGTGCTGGAGAGAAAGGCTCTTGCGGACCTTGAGTTTAAGAATAGAGATGTGGACAAGGTCAATGATACAGAACTAGTGGAGGACTAAATCTGTTCCCTGGAGTTGCGCCTGGCTCTCTATAACCTCAATGTACCAAGAGCGCTGCAGAGAAGAGTCTGTTTTGATAAAGCTTTAGCTAACATGATTGCTAAGAACTCTATTTCGCTAAAGAGTGAGAGTGGACTTGAATGTCTAGTATGCCTTGGTCGCGCTAACATCCACCCTAGGGCCAAAATGTACACATATGCTCGCAAAGATACATTGCAGCACTTTGCGACCCATAAGCTGCGGGAAAGCTTTCTAGATAGCTGAAAATGCGACTACCCAGGTTGTGACATGGTTTTATACACTCTTCCCAAGTACAAACTTCACCAGGCTACAACGCACAATATCATTTTATGATATGTATACTGTCAGAGAAACTCGTGATATATAGTCGCTCGTCAACAGGGAGAATTTTTTTGACCTTTCTGTGATCAAATTCTATAACCTCTATCAGCAGCTAGCACATGAGAATTACAACCCACCCACCAAAGTAGGTGCAACTGTATGAAAGCAACGACAGGCGTGTTAATTGTTTATTCTAGAAACTGGGGTCAAGCACAGAGCAAGGTATGAAGCGTCAGGCACCGAAGCGAATGGCTCTAATATTTTCATCAGGCACATTGCATGCTCCAGCATATGCCTGGGGGGCAGTAATGACCTCTACGAAATCATTTACGTTGAAGAGAGCCAGGCTCTTAACTGTACGAGTTGATCGAAGCTTGTGATCAGGAAAGCAAACCTTCCCTTCGTTAGATGCTTCTACGTCTGCACAGTTACCGCTGCACAGCAGAAGTACACGGAAGGTTCACACTGTTCTGGCTAATGCTTAACCGTTTGGTAGAGTCGAGTCATGGAAATCAAACCTGGCGATGGTATGCGTGGTGCTCCGGTTCGCGTTAATTGCAGGAAGACTCGGAGCAAAGCAGGAGGTGCAAACACTCAGGGCAGAAGGAAAGGGGTTTATGAACGTTAGAAAAGGTTGAAGAATAACAAAAGTCGATCATTCCATCTGCCTAAGCCTTCTCCGGTAACTTTCGACCCGGAGCTTTTGCTTCCAGTCTCAGCTTTGCAGCCATATAAATGCCCTCCAAAATGAAAGGCTTCCAATAGTACTTCCTCTCAGCCGGATAACTAGAGTTCCATGCCGAGCTCAAGCTCTTTCCTTCTTTGTCCTGGCACATCTGCATGACAAGTGTCTCGTCATTGGGGTATCGTTCAGTCGCCTCATTGATCGCTTGCCGCGTGGCTTCTTCCCACTCAGACCGGCTGGGACTTGGTGCTAATATTGGGTCAACCCATTTCATCGCTCCTCGGTCGAACTTGGTCCGTTCCTCACGACCCTCCTTTGATAACCAAGAGAATGTGTCTGGATTGAGTGCGATAATTACGTTTAGCAAAGCCCTGCGCGAACTAAGCATCGTGCTAAAGCGCTTGATCTGAAAACCTGCATTGAAGTGCATCCAGCCCTTCATGATGCTGCGCGGCGGAATGAGATAGGCATGGGAGAAAATGCAGAATGTAATCCAGAACGTTGTGAAGTACGCATCCCAGCCCTTTGATGCTGCGGCTCCAATGGCAATAGCCCATTGTGCTAGAATGAGAAAGCGCAGCGCCATGAACAGGCAGCGTGCTAGGAAAAGCGATGGTTTTGGGCCGTCAGGCTCGAGGGGCCGGTTCAGCAAGGAGTTCACAATAGTACTCTCGCCATAGAATACTATCCACTTAGTCGAGTTCATGTGCTCAGTCACCAATACCAGTCGATTGTAATCACTGCGGTCTTGCACTAGCAACCGTCTGGGTTGGCAACCATACAGGATGAACGTCACTAGACCAGTGCCCAAGGCCACTGCAGAAAAAGCTAATGACAGGTAGCAGCGGAGTATCGCGCTCATGACAATCATACCAAGTACTATTGCCCATCCGAATGCTGATACCACTAAATATCGGAGCGAAGTTGACGCGCCATGACTGTTGAAAATACGACTGAGCCACGTATTGGTCTCTCGGTGGCTCTTCTTGTTTTCCAGCCTGACGACGTGGACAAACTCCAAGTTTTGAATTCTCAGATCAGTTCCAGACATGTTCTCGTGGAGGTTGCAAATGGTGCGCGGTCTCTGAGTGGCAAGACATTGGCGGACTGTCTCCGGATTACTGACGGTATAATTATCCCCATATCGGCCATCAAGGGCCAGAAAGGCCATGCTGCTTCCATATCGATCGAGGTAGCATTCTTGCTCGGAGTGCTGGCCGGAAAGGATGAGGCGACTGCCCGACGGCGTGATGGGCCAGCTCCATAAGGGGACGGCACCTGTCAGTTGGAAGATATGTAGCTTCTCTGGAATGTCAATAAAGTCGATCAAGGCGGAAAGAGGAAGGATTCCCGCAACTTCAGCCACCCAGGCATGTCTATCGAGAACAGCTCTAAAGTCTGAAACAGAAGAGTTAAAAACGCCCATCGGTGATGCCGTGGGTTGTGTGATAGCTGTCGAGGGAAATCACCAGCGTCCTGGGATGAGGGGTCGAAATGTGACTCTTAGACGAAGGAACACAAAAGACTTCCCCGAGTCTGATGGGACGAAAGGCGAGCGTAACCTGCGGTCTGCTTACGTCGTTGGGCCGACAGGGCGCATCTCAGCCGACTAATTCCGTATTGAACAAGGATTAAGCAAACAACTGATAATCGTCGAGATTGGACAGCGACTTTGAGGCTTGGGGAAACCCCTCATCTGATTGTTTGCGTCGAAGCAAGCACTATTCTCTGCGGTGACTGTTGAAATGATATATCGTAAAGTTCGCATACAAGCGCACTGGCTTCTTCTATCTACATCTTCAAGGAGAACTAGTACGAAGACATACGATACATCCGGCAGCGCTCATGAAAACACTCCTAGTTGAGCCTTGTCACCTGCTCAACCCCGTAAACCTCGGATCTTTCAGATTCTCCAGCCCAACTTGGGCAAGACGAGAAACATACTCCGAAAGAGGAATCCCTGTAGCATTGGATTTGGCAATGGAGTCTAGCAGCTGCCTCATGCGGCTCGCGTAATCCTCCACAATGAGACTCCGCTTAGCCTCTAAGAGGGACATATACCGGCCTGGGTCAGCCTGTTAGTCTCTGGGAGCAGGATACATGGGAGGAGAAACATGACACCAAGGAAAACGCCTACCAGCTAGCCTGAACTCCAATAAGTCGCCGCCCAGTGTGTTGCCAGTTCCCGCATTTTTCACTTTACAAATTGGTTGGCCGAACTCAGTCTCACTACAAGACAGACAGGGAACGTCTCAGCCTAAATCAATCCGTCCAGCAGGAAACACTGACTCTTTCTTTTTGATTATCCATTTGCTTTTCGCGTCAGACGTGTCAACATCATCAAGAGACTCAAACGTCGGCAGTTGATCGGAGTAATCCGAGTACAGAACTTTCTCGTGGGGGCCATCGTAAATGTGGTACTGGTCGCTCGATCCCGATATATGTCTGACATTGAGGATAAACCATTTTGTTTCCTTGCTACCTATCGCGCTGAATTGAGCTTCATCGTCGTCATTTTTGATCAAGACCCCGTCAGTGCCGCCGAAAGAATCGTAGGACTTCGGAACAATAATATAGAGGCTATTGGGCAGCTTCATATTTCTTGAAAAGGAAAAGGGACCTTCACCGCTGATGATTCAGTGGAGCATAGCAAGGGAATGAAGTTGAAACGCAGCCGTCTACGATACCGACATCCAGGTTTTTATATCCTGATGTCTTTTTCTATACCCTCTGATGATCATACGACGGCAATTGCCTCGCCCAGCTTTGTTCTGTCTCTCTTTTAGAATGCTCACTCAGCCAGCCTCTGACATGCTTGTGAGCAAGTTAGCCCTCGATGCAACCACCAAACCAATATACTGTATTGGTTTTTATGGCCATGGGGCTGTCAGACTCAGCACACAAGGGTCATTCTCTCTGAGCCAAGCGAAATTATACAGGTGACCTGTGCATGCAGGCAGCATCCAATTAATTATCTCTGAAGAAGCCACGACTCCTTCAGATTACGAGTTTCAGCTCGGCAGTGCCTCCGTCAATGACTGCAATTGGCCATATGAGTCTGACACTCCTCTATGTCCATTGGTCAGCCAGCCTCTGACATGAATTGACCCCTGTCAAGTCTGACAGCGCTTCACACCATCCTCCGCGAATCAGCGAATATCATATATAATATTGGCTTTTATAACCAAGGGGCATCGGACCCAATGCACAAGGACGGTTTTGTCTGATGAAAGTAGACTTACAATGCGACAGATTTTGAGGTATGCCTGCTGGCGACGGCCAAATAATTACCTGAATAAGCCAGGGCTCTAGTGCCTCCGTAAGGATAGAATAAAGGAATGTGACAACGATCCATTTCTTTTTTCCATACATTCGACGACAGCTTGGCGTCGACCACATCCTTAGGTTTCAACCAGAAGACAATTTGGCTTCGGTAGGAGAGAACGATTCCAGAGAGAATGGTCCTCTACCAAGATCCCGAGACAGGAGTTGCCTGGGATGCTCGAGACCTTCCCCCGGATATAGCGCCTCAACCAGATCCAAAATACGAAGAGTACCGGCGAATTAGATTGAACCAAGACAAGCATATGAATGACGAAGACCAGCTCCAAACAGTCCTCCCTGATTACAATGGTGCCTCCGACACTCACGTTGAGATCGGGCTGGAGGAGTCGCTTCTGGTTCATGAATCAGGTCTTCCAGTCACGACGTGTGCGAACGCGATCGACCGGCCAGGCATGTGGGCCCGGATGAACGAGCAAAGGGCCCAGGTACGAGTTGATCCCGAGGAGCCGTTCATGAACCAGCTGGCTTCTCTTTGCGTCAGAGCCCAGATTCGACATTGCAGCCATCAGAAATGCGTCAAGGAGCGGGACTCGATGAAGAGATATGCACCCAGATGTGAATGGCGTCGGTTTCGAGAATGGGCATTGGCACTTGTTGCTTGCCAATTATCCTTCGGCCCTGAGCAGAAGCTCACCCTCGCATATACCCACCTCAAGGCAGTCGCTCCAGTCGGGTACTCTTTGCTCGATCTTTTCCGTTGGAGGAAAAACGAGGTGACGGGGACCTTTATTGAAAATGAGAATAAGAAGCGCACCGTAGACGTATTCGGCGTTTGTGAGGTTATATACTGGATGCTGACCATCCAGACGTCGCTGGGTTACAACGCCGGTTTAGAGACGCGATGGCTACCCGACTTTCTGCCAACAAACGTTGCGGGTCCAGCCGTAAAGAAAGCCGTCCAAAAGGCCCACAAGCTAGGAATTTGTCCGTACCGTCTTTGGAATCTTGCTATCGTGAGCGAGCGAAAATATGTCGACTTCCCGGGGCTCATGGAGACCGCTACAAAACACCCTTCTCTGAAGCACGAGGATCACCAAAAGTGTACCACAGGCCTATGCTACCAAACAACCATAGACAGCACCCGCGCTAAGCAATGTCATAAATGTGGTAAACCTCCTACCTGCGATGGCAAACGAGTGTTATTTGATCCAGAGCGTCTGAACGAATCTATAAGGAATGGTGGACGCACTGTCTGGTCGGTTAATGAGCCTTTCCATGTATCCCAAGACCAGCCCTACGTGGCTATATCGCACGTCTGGGCGGATGGCACAGGAATTGGTCTGGGAAAAGTCGGGGAGGTCAATTGCTGTCTATTCAACTACTTTGCTGGGATCACCCGGACCCTTGGCTGCGACGCATTGTGGTGGGATACCATTTCTATTCCCACAGAAAAAGAAGCAAGGAAAAAGGCCATCAACGAGATGCACAAAAACTACTCCAGTGCTCGCTGTACTGTCGTTCATGACCAGTACCTGACAAATTTCTTGTGGTCCGACGATGGCAGCCCTTGTCTGGCCATTGTATTGTCATCGTGGCTTACCCGTGGATGGACAGCGCTTGAACTGATCATGTCACCGAGTGTTAAGGTAATATTCAAGGGCACCAGCGGACCGGTGATTAAAGACCTTGATTCTGATATTCTGGCGAATGACCCGAGTCGGTGCAGCCGTGCTCATTGGATCGCGTCCACCATTATCCGTCGATTGCGGAGACCGATCGAGAATATTACTGATCTCATTACGGTTCTCAAGCCCAGAAGCACGTCCTGGCCACGGGATAAGATGGTCATTGCGGGACTTCTTTCTCGACTCGATGACTGCGACTACAGCTTACAGTCTGACGAAATCACAAAGGCTATCATGCTTCGGGTCTCCAAGATCCATCCCTCAAGTGTTCTCCATGGCCAGCCGACTATGAGAGATTCTGGCGCTTGGTCATGGTGTCCTTCCTCGCTATACGACATACCCGTCGAGAGCATGGGAGATACATTCATGGAAGGCGGCCTCGGGGACCTGACTTGTTTGATTGAGGCCGAGGGCATCCTAGCAGGTGCGTGGCATTTTCGATTTTTGCGTCGGGAAGACAGTCTTCCTGGCCGCCTGATTGCAAGCTCAGCGCATCCATCAGTGATCTGGAAAGTTGCGAACGCTCTCCGGCATTGGCGCCACTGTTTGCTTCTTAGGGAGCAGATCATTCCCGGCGGTCCCTCTCTTCTTGTTACCACGGTGAGTAGAGAGGGACGGTTTATACACTGCCGATACGTAGGGGCTGTCCTTGACGTGAATCCACCGCCCATAGAAGACTTGATGAATGGATATGATTATTTCAAAATGGGACACGCCGAGAACAAACCAAGTATCAAAGCTCGGAAGCTCATACCGCCAAATCCGCACCCTTCTACAGAGGATGAGAAATACTATCAGTGGCTGGATGCAAAGCTTTGGATAGGAAATGAGCATCCCACCGGAAAGCTCCTTGTCACACAGTTCCATCCAGAAGACGGCGGTGCAGAAGGATGCTATCTCCTGATAAAAGACCGGCCCATTTCTGTGAAGCCATACAGCCGGGATGCTAGCCGAGCTGTCGTATATGGTGGCCCAGAAGTTACTCGCTCCAAAGAAGCTGCTTTTCAGGTCTCGCCAAACTCGAGCTATGATGCCGCGGTGACTCGAGCAAGGATGACATTGGCATGGCCCCCACCGACGATTCCAGCTGGGAACAGAATCGGAATCCAGTGGATAACCGGCAATCCCCTCCCTGGGAGTAACTGTAGCGGCGATTTTTTGCGTTTGGAGACGAGCACCAAGTTGAATTCCTTTGCCGCAATTGAACCACAGTTATACACCCCCGGCAAGGAAAGGCCCTACCGCGGAATCTGGGCAGGTATCTACCATCCTCCATCAACCTTTCTTATTTTGATGCTAACTAGAATGCTCGTCTATGGTAGGCGTCTTCCCCTTTCGTACCGGCTTGTATCCTGATCACCGATGGGAGTTCCTCCTTTTCCATCAGCCAAAGGAGAAACGCCTGGAAGTGATTAAGCTCACTGGCGACGAGAGTTCCCCACGAGGCTCGTACGCGGTGATCGTAGACGACCTCAACAAAGTGACGAGAATCTGCACCGAAGAGGAGTGGCCTGGAGCACCTGCCGTGCCTGCCATGGGGTATGCGATGGAACGCAACAATCTCTATCGTAAGCTGTTCCCTCTTCATCCGGCCTTGTAGTCACTGGGCTGACTTGAACGATAAGACCAAGCGGTGTTTCGTCCGGCAGAATTAGTTTTGGCAGGCAAGGATGAAGTGGTACTTATATCGACCTGTGTCGTTCGGATGAGACGAATTTCTTTAGATTCGTTGCTTTCGCGGCCAAAAGCCGACATTAAATCCTCATGAATACCGACTGGAGCGAGACGATTGCTTGTCTGGCTTAGAAGACAGGACTGGCTCGAATGAGAATGTAAACATGTGTCCGAGCATCGGCTACAGTGGAAGATATCGGACTGCTTTAGGACGAAAGAGGTTTTTGCTCAGTCTGTCCATCGTATTTCTTGTGCTAATTTTATAAAACGCAAAGAACCTGCTTCCCTCAAGAAGAGATGTCAAGTTATCCCCAAGCAATCTTCTTCCTCTCCTTCACCTCACTCTTCCTTTCTGATTCCTCTAGCAATGTCGATCACTCTGACGATTTCTCCAATGAGGATGAAGCACCACATCTGCACCATTCAATCCATCCTACGCAAGAAGGGCTGCTGCATTCGTATACCCACGCATATTTGCTTCGTCATATGCAGTACGGTTTTTATTATTCTTTGCAATCTTGGATGCGCCGTGCCCTTGCAACAACCGAATGGCAGCAATTCCATTTGACTGAGCTGCATAATGCAACGCTGTGTTTCCCTGGTTGTCTCGCTTGGGTATTGATGGTCTTCCCCCGTTTTCCAGGATCAGCCTAATCAGATCCAGAGAGTTGTTGTAGGCCGCCCAGTGAAGGGCGCTGACGCCATTTCCGGTTCGCGTATCAACAGCGGCCCCTTCAGCCGCTAACCGAATTGCCACCTGTTTGAAATCTCTTCTAACGGCCAAATAGAACGCAGTCGCGTGATTATGGTTCGAGACGTTAATCCTGGCACCGTTCTCAATCAACAAGTCAACCATACCCTTCATCCCGCGGCTTGCCGCAGTCATCAGCGGCCTATTTCCGTCGGAATCTTTCTCCTCCACATCCGCTCCCTCGTCAAGCAATTCTATAACATCACTCAGGGACCCATGCCGGACAGCATTCAGGAGGGATCGCATGGTATTTATAGCTATTTTGGTTAATTCGACAACGTTATTGTAGGGCATTAGGGCTGGAGGCTCACGCTGTGGATGCTTGTATTTCGTCTAATCTAGTAGGCAGGTGATATTGGTCATAAGATTGTCTGTGTGAGAGAGATAGTCTGTTGCTGTGTGCCTCTGTAATACAGACGGGCGCATTGTGGCCAGTTTATATATGTCCGACCCATGCCCGTGCATATACGGCAGCGCTGTTAGTCGACAAAGAAGGGGACTCAAGGCTCAGGCTCAGGCTCCTGAGCTGGGCAACATTATGCAGGATATAACTAAGCCCGCAGCGCCATGTCTGCTTGTTCTGTAGCAGCGCATCTACTAGGGAATTGGCCGCCACCTTTCTCAGCTGATTTGAATCTTATTGAAATGGTGTGGTTCGAACAGTTGCAAAGCCGTTTATTGGCCGCTTTCTTTGTCGCTGGCTTCAGCCAGCCACTTCTGACCGGGGTAACCCTGTCATAGTAGAACATGAAGAGCAAACAGTCAACTTGGGGGTAGGAATTCGCAGGTATAGGTAGAAGGCTGACAGCATTCTTCCTCATTCTCTAAGCTTGACAACGTTTGCCATAATCCCCTCAGCCCATCAGCAAATGCACACTGCAACTAAAAGTCTAGACAAGGGGGAAATCCTCCACCCCACTATGCCGCTCAGGTGGACGCCGAGGACTGGATCAGCAGGTTGCTGAACGGTAATTGTCCAGATTGTACGGCAGTAAGGCTATCAAGCACAGCAAAATCCCTCCGGGCGCGTCCATTAGACGGGCAAATGGGATCTGTCCGGGTCTGTTGCGTCAATCCATTGGACGGTAGATATTACTGGATCTTGGTAGACAGGCGAGGGGTAGTGGTAGTCTACCAGCCCTTGGATCGTATACTTAGTATGTAACCTGAACGGCCTGCGCTTCAGAAAAGCCTTCCATCGACCTTAATGGAATTCTAAGTGGCATTAATATCGTATCATCCTAGTCTTGTCTTCAGCCTAGGACTGCATGGGTATTGGAGTTCTAGATGGTATATATTCCAGGCCATCTCAGTAAAAAAGGTTTTGGGGGAGTCCTCGCTACGCCCTCATACATATCCGCTGTTATCCGGCAGACCTGTAACAACCATGTCTGACTATGGAGTGAGTACTATCCCTATAGCTCACAAGATCTGGTTAACCACCGTAGCAGCCCGAAGTCCCCCTCCCGGACTACGATCCTGAAGGATACACACTTGAAGAAGCAATCATGCAATCGAATGCTACCCTCACCGCAAAACTCATCTCTGGCGGCGCCAATGTCAAGCAAACTAATGCCAGGGGTGAAACGCTTCTCATGCTCGCCGCCACTGTGGGGAATGAGTCCATCCTAAAATTGCTTCTACAAAATGGGGCAAAAATAAACGCTGCGGACCGCAATGGCCGGACAGCGTTGCACTGGGCTGCCATTGACGATGAAACTACTCGTATCTTAGTTGACAATGGAGCCCAAGTGAATAAACAGGACAACAATGGCAAGACGGCTATGCATCTCGCCGTGGATGACGATGAAAGGGGAGTAGTTCATGTCTTGCTTCAGGGGGGCGCTGATCCAGATCGAAAGATAATAAAGGAAGGACGCCCAGAGGCTTGGCGAAGAAGTATGGGAACAAGAAAATTTTATGGTTGATCGAGGCTTATCAGAACAGGTGCGGTGGTCTCTTGGCCTTGTTGCTGCTGATATTACTCCCAGGACTCTGCCCCACTATAAAAATATGATAGAATGCGGCTGATTGCCTGAAGATCAGCGCGAATCATGAGAGCTGGTGCGATTTTAGTACTAATATTAACCAGAATGACCTGCTGTTTTTGCCATTCTGGACGACCGAACGCAAAGGATAAGGTGCTTAGATTGCCATAAATGATATTCCTAGAGTGGATGAACTCCACCTAGGACACCAATTGGTCTGCCAAAATAAGAAGGCTCTGCAGGCTGAAATATCAGCCAGATTGGCAGAAAACTTCATCAAGCGTCAGTCCATACGTGTCTATAAACATGACATCTTTCCCGTCAATGGTTTCAAACCAGTGCAGCAATGGCACACCAATCCCACCAGCTATGGCTTAAAGGGTATGAGCTTCTCTTGCTAATAGAAAGAGCCATCTAGTTTTAATAAAGGCTTCTTCAAGAGTAACCTGATGTTGTGCTGATCTATGTCAGTTATCTTCCTTAATGTCATGGTGTTAACCTTACCACGACCCAGTTCCCCTGGGACATCCGGCCACTACAACACCTAAAAAGGGCCAATGGACATGCTTCTAAAGCCTATTATAGACTAAGGCTTGCTCTCTGTGATGTTCTGTAAGAAGTAAAGTTTATTTCCTTGGAGTTGATTTCAGCTCCTTCTTCCAGAAGGATCTTAACTGATTCTAAGGCACCATATTCTGCAGCCCAGGAAAGAGGCGTTCAGCTATTCTGGTCGCGATCATCTCTTGCAGCATCATTTGCTAGGAGGAAGCGAAGAAGCTTAGAGCAATCTCCCATTGCGGTGTAATGGATGAGAGATTTCTTAAACTTAGGCCCTCAAGGGTTCAATGCGCCCTTTAAAAGATGAATGTGCATCTTCCAAGAAATCTCATATATCACCGTTTAGCTTAACCTCATTGAACTCTTTCAACCGTAAAAATTCGCCATTGATAATAGCCATGGACTTGGGTGAAATTCTTATTTTGATTGTCCCCAGATTGGACCTTTGCTGCTCGTATGCTTCCTTGTATGTCTAACCCTTGCTCATCGCGAACTCCACACCCTGTTTCGCGTCCCAGCCATAGAGTCGCTCATTTAAGCTGTCTACTGGCACCACGCCGAAGTCACGGATCCAGATAGGTTATTAATAACCTTTCAAGAGTCAGCCAAAGATTTTGGTCACCACCGTCTGGAATGCCTAGAAATAGACAGCAGAGACCAGCTTCAGCTGCGGCCAGACTCACCACTGCGCCCACCATGTTGTAAATATGAAATACTGGCCTCAAGAGCTCTTGTGATCGAACGCTCACAGACCGCAGCACAACTGAGTACTTAGTATGTGAATATTTGTTCCTAACAGTAATACATGCTATGCTGGTTTGGCTTCAGGAATTCATGTCGCGTCATTTTTTTTGAACCAAGTTGATATAAGCTGGAAGGATGTCGAATAGCTCAATGAAGATGATAAGAGGGCAAGCTGTCCTGAATCCTAACCATGGAAGGAGAGTGTTTCTTCCACATCATACATCTGGATCCGCTGAAAACGGATTGTTGGTGATGATGTTACTTTCAAATTACCAAGTACTGAGGAATATTTTTCTTCTCTTTGATCAGAGCGTGCGCTGTCGTACAATTAACCCGTTGAACCCAATCCCAAGATACTATTTGCGTACACATGATCTTGCCTTCATACGACCATTGGGTAGCATCTCACTCTCACTTTAGTTCATACGACTTGCAAGGGTTGTCTATGAAGCATGAAAACTATACTCGGCCTTCTGGAATATTTGATTAATAATTAACAACAGGTAACTAGCAGTTTCCAAGCCCTCTCGCACTTCCGAGCCCGACCACAAGAATTAATACGGTCAATTGGCTCAAGCTAACCATCGTCCTTGACTGCTCTACTACCGCCTCAGCGGCCCCCAGGGCGTCAGTTAGGGTTGTGCGGTTTTTGGCTTCGTGCTGCTCGATGTTTTCGGCTCGGTCGTACCACTCTCACCACTCGTGGACTCCAATATGGTCATGGCCAAATATCTGAATTCGGCCGTATGGCCTGGTTTGGCGAAAATTCCCACATTAAAACCTTCCGGATCCACAGCTGGCCCATTATCAGCAAGTAGATAGATCTCCGTCGGCACATGGTCTCCGGTAGCATTGCACAAAGTTAGCTGCACATGCGGCGTCTTCTTGAAGGGATTCTTGAATGTGAAGCGCGTAGTTGCGCCGGGGTTCTGGCGCGTTACTTGACCCCTGCCTGCTTCTAGAGCAGCAATGTGCAGTCCGTGCTCGTGGTCAGCAAGCTGACCTATAGCAAAAGGGTCAATGATGAGTTCTTTTTCTGTTTTCTTTGGCCCACATTTGCTTTTGAGCGAAGACTTACCTTGGAGATGTGCGGGCATTTTGCCAAAAAGCGACGTCTTTAAATTATGGCGGGGGACAGCTGCACTCCTTGGAGATAAGGAGGGAAGGAAATTCTGTAGGGAGGAAAGACCTGTTGGTTCTGCGACCTCTTTTTATGGAGGCGAAAGTACTCAATTCAGAAACGAATCCCACCCAAGTCTCGAGTGCCCTTTTGATGACGTTTTCAGTGATGTATCCTACGGTGAGATTCATGAGGCAAGCTCTGTCACCGCAGTTAAGGAATTTTTCGACTTTTGATTACAGGTAACGTTCCAGCCCTTGCTTTTTGTGTGCAAGGGTGGCATTTAATTCGGCTTGAAGCTTTCAAGCTACCTTGGCAGTAGCTTATAGAGCCTAGTGAGTCGTTTAGTTACATTAGTCCATATTCCATTGATCAGGCATCTAGCGAGTGTTGATCCGGAACGCAAATACAATCGTCGTCAATCCTACGACCACTAGTTTTCCGTCAAGATGGAATGTGGACTCCAGATGCGTCTGTGAATAGACCGTAGTATTTCCAAAATTATAATATTTATGGCTCGAGTCTTCCCACGTTACATTGAGCCATAGGTAAGAGATCGTGTAACACGGCTAGGACGGAAGCAGTGCCAGAGCAATATATAATACTTGAAAATGACGTTTAGAGAGCGACGCCCCTCTAGTTGAAAACTTCTCCCGAAGCAACGACACGACTTCAAGAGAGATCAATGGGAATTTTGCTGTCCTTTGCCTAAACGATTGCACAGTATTTTCCACACGGCTGACTCTCTATTTCATTCATTTACCAAGGACCGCCACAAACTTGCTCGGCCAAGGTCCAATCAAAGGAAAATGGCAGCTCCCGAAGGAGATTACTGGTTTTACCATGAGAGCCTCAAATCCAACACGTTCGATCCCACTGACCCCAAACAATTCTACACCACGGTCTGGTTGGAGGTTGCGGCCAATTGGACTTTTCTGGACCGAAGTGGCAACGTCCCGCGAATCCCCTGGGAAGGACATCCACGAGGGGGGAAGCAAATTTGGAACTATAATCCATGGAAGACAGCATATGCTCGTCACAAATGGATGACCGCAATGGTCGGCCGCACAAACAGGAAAATCACCCGCTACAAAAAGGTTCACGGCCAGTTCTCTCGAGATCATCTGTATGATCAGCTCAACGAGACGATTGTAGCACTAGTGCCGGTAGACATGCCGACGCCCGAGGAAAAATACCTCTGGGTAGACATGACCTACCCATTGCGGGGGATTTACTTCCCTAAGCGGCACATTGCGAGTCCCAAGTACAAGAACAAGTGCATGTACTCGCGTCTGAGCTTTATGGAACGTTCGGTGACATTGAAGACGTATGCGATTAACCGACCGGCGCCACAAGGGGAGCTTATAAAAGATGAAGGTTACACTTCTAGCCGCCTAAGACGCGAGGAGATTGAAAGGAGGAAACGAGAAGGCTATCCAGAGCAAGATCCGCCGAAGACCCTACCGCGTGACGCTCTCCATGAAGGGTCGCTTCAGCTCGTCCCCCATGAGTTTAAAGGCTGGGACATCCGGCCACAATGGAGCGTGCGGTTTGATGTTGAGGTGATCATGCATATTGTCAGTTTACCCACTGACATACTCAAGCCAGAGTATGACGATCCTTTCAAGCATGTCGCATTATTTGACTGCCGGTGGATTGATCTCGCGGACGGGGTCGAATCGTTCACTATGAATTTCGGCGACCATACAGTGGATTATTTGAAAACAGTCCAGGATGAGAAGCATATGAAACTAGTGCTTGCAAATAATGGGTTCGATAAGCATTGGCTAGCCATAACTGTGGGGGGCCTATGCTTGGTTGGGGTGAGTTTGATCCCGGGGTATGGTCCCATCGCGGCCTTGGGTGGTCAGATGCTGCTGGATCTGTTGACTGCCCCCGATGAATTCGAAAGCGAGAAGTTTGCCAAGGATAGAGCGCCATTAGTAGTCGCCGCTATAATTACCTCTGCGAAAGATGCGAAGGGCTACATCCTAAAAAGCGCCTTGAAGAAAGGTGCGACGGGCAGAAGAGGTACTTGACAGGACGGCTGTTAATGTTTTTTGTATACATAAACCATTATGTGATGGTCACCAGCAAATATGTTGACGAGCCGACTGTACAATGTAGGGCAAATTTATATACAAAAAGCAGCAACAGCTGTGCATCAAGCATCACATAATAATAATTCCATCCATAGAGAGGGAAAAATGGAAGAGTTTGGGTAAAGTGCATCAGACTCACACAAGCCACTGCTTTGACGAAAAGCGGCGCTTCATAACCAGTACAACCCAAATCAACACTGGTTAACACTTATCCGGCTATCGTTGAATGCATCATCATGGATTGCGCAACACCAGCCGCGAGCAGGGAACAGCCTGACATGGTTCAGTTAGCCTAACATGGTTCAGTTAGCATAACATTCCACCCTTCCGTGGGTTGATATATCAATATATCGAGTGACACTACCCACTATGCGACAAAACATGGATATAGATTTCCGCAGAGCAATTGCAGCATTGGAGAAACACTACTTGTATAATGACGCCACCTACAGGGTCGATGATGCCGTTGGCTGAACAGATGTCACCCAAACAATAACGTGGTTTCCTGGTTCGCTGCACTAGGACAAAAGTCCTGGAAAGGAGTGTCATTGACACCATCAGTTTCTAGATTGCAACCAGGCATCAGCAGGATAATGGAACCTTGTCACTGTTTGTGAACTGTAAAGTGTACCTCCCCGCGGCCTCAAACTGTTTGCAGACAATTTGGTAAGTGAGTGAGGTAGCAGCTCAATGTACAACACCTAGACCCAGCTGAAGGGAAGAGGACAACCACATATTGTCACTCCTTCAAGCGATCAATGGATACACATACCTCGGTACCAGGTGGCTCTGCTGTAATCATGTCTCGAAGACGACAGCTGATCATGGTCCTTGACAAAGCACGACTTGTATATCGTGGAATCTGAGTCAGGTACCAGACGGCCGCAACGCGGCCGCAACTCGCCGGGCAAATGGCAGACGTACGATATTCCCAAAAGCCTTTATCGTAGTATAATATTAGGCAATATACTATGACAAGCGGATATAATCCGTCCTTTAGCTCTATGTGGGAGGTTCTAAACTTCCATATTACTTGGACAGGTATAAGATCTTTGAACATTGTCCCGGTATTGATTCTGAATCGCCACATTGGTTGCGATATGCTACAGTGGTTGAATGTAACATGGGTGGAGAAGGGACATGCTATCTATAGCGGTGAAGACTGCTCTCATGACGTCTCGTTATTTTGAATACCATTAGATGAAGGTGTACCCATTGTATATCAGATGTGACATGCCCCTTGCGTGGCGTGTACTATTGCGATCCATTATCTTCAAGTTGTGGAACCATATACATTTTTGCCAGCGAAGTCATCATGTCAGATCTTAAAGTGCAAAGCAGATTTTTGAAACCAGATTACGCCGTCAAAATTCGGGGAGCGGGATCGCAACCCCAAAAGTTATCATCACATATAAAGCTCCCCATTCGGGCACAGGTGAGTCTACAGAACTTTGGCGCGTTAATGAGAATATGCGTGGCTCCCTTGATGGTCGTACTATGGGATTGGGTCTTTCAGATCTCTAGTAGATTTGCTAATAGTGGGTAGGTGGATGAGTACCTGAGTGGACGCTATCAAAGAGTCTTCCACGCATACAGAGGAGCCAATATAATTATGGATGTAATTCCTGATGAAGGGCAACTGAATGATGACATGGACGGAGATGACGGTGACCAGAATGGTGGGGATCTTGACGACGGGGCTGACCGGGACGAAGGCTGGGACCAGGAAGAAGATCAGGAAGAGAATCAGGAAGAGAATCAGGACAAGAATCAGGACAAGAATGAGGAAGAAGATCAGGACAAGAATGAGGAAGAGAATCAAGAAGAGAATGAGGAAGAGAATCAGGAAGAGAATGAGGAAGAGAATCAGGAAGAGAATGAGGAAGAGAATCAGGAAGAGAATGAGGAAGAAGATCAGGAAGAGAATCAGGAAGAGAATGAGGAAGAGAATCAGGAAGAAGATCAGGAAGAAGATCAGGAAGAAGATCAGGATGAGAATCAGGATGAGAATGAGGAAGAAGATCAGGAGGAGGACCAGGAAGAAACCAAATCTGATGATGATGTTGAAGATAATGCCAAGGATGAAGGCCAGAATGAAGATGAAGAGGGACCAGAGGAGGAGCCCAAAGA